TGCCTTTCTAACAAGTCTGCGTCGATTTACTATTTAAGGTAGCTCTCCTAGCTCAGGGGGTCCTCACTACGTTACTGAAACGTGTTTTGGATTAGAAAGGATTATTCAGGAAACTTTCTAATACCCATCACGATTGAGAATAATCTTAAAATATTTCTGTCATGTTAGGATATCGGCTTTTGAAGGAGATTATTTCGCGATAAAACTGCTTAAATAGTAAACATTCAGGTGTTGTTTTCCGTGCTCTTATAGAGTCAAATATACTCTATAGAAACCACGTACAAAACTGCCTTCTTTTGCACTTATTTGGTAAAAAATTACTTCTTCGGTAAATTGTATACTTGAAAAATGTTATAATTAGGTTTAAAAACGATTAAATTTCCGAGTACTTTTTAATTTGACCGGAAGTTGCACTTAACTTTGTGGATTTAGGAATAAATACTGGATACTTTCCGTATAAGGAAAGTCAACATATATCTACCAGATTTACAAGACATCGTATAGAGGTCATAAATTGTCCATTGGATGTGGACCGTATCGGACACTTCAGAAGCAGCATTCATGAATAGACAGATATTAACTCATATAAATGCGCATTTAAAAACCTACAAATCTCATAATAAGAACGTTTTTGAAACTAAAAGCTACCTCCTCATCCAGTATCGAATTGTAAGACCACTTGATGCACTACCGAATGTGCACAACATCTACTTTGGTGAAGGTTGTCTAAATAATATAATTACATTTGGAAGGGAAACGAAAATGTGTCGAAACGTACATGCTGCTTCGGAATACTTTTTGCAAAAATAAATGCTCATTCAGAAGTCTGCACTTCGCAATAGCAGAAATATATTGGGATATTATCAATAGCACAACCCCACCTGAGTCTTAGTTAATAATCAACAATACATCTGGGTTATAATTTCATGAGATGGCCCAAATACTGTACCGTTTATACTAAGACTTCGCGGAAGATCTACGCATGTGTTTTATAAGTTACACAACTTCTTTTGGACTCAGCTGTCGGTTTTAAGTTTATATATTAAGGAATATCTGATTTTCTCTTCAATTTTATCTCTCTGCAAGTTAACTTGAGGTTTTCCTGGTCCGGGCTTTTGGACTTTTTGTTTTTTTTCTAAAAACTACGTTATCAGTGTTCACCCTCGTCATACTCTACATTAGTCAGTAAAAAGGCATACCGATTCCCTCAGTTTTCTTCCATTAACAAAGCCATAGTAAAAGCACAACTAAAGCCACTGTAAATGTTCAGCGCTTTAGATTTTCCGAAGTTTCCTCTAGGAGAACAATTGATTGTCATTACTGTAGTATACTGTTTTCTAGCAATCATACCTGTTTGTTTATGAGGTGTTCTAGTCTTTAGTACAATCACGACGTTTGCAGGTCGAATGTCTGTCGGAGTCATCCTCGTACATCTAGTACCTACTGCATGAGTTACCTTTGCGTAGGCAATATGACTTAGTGCATTTTGGAGGGTTGATTATATCCATATTTCCGTCTTAACAGACTGACATCCGGATGGAATATATCGGCGACACCCATCAAGCCCTTCAGGAAGAAATGGACCGTCAAGTTGGCCTTGAAGCGGACCTTGCTGAATATACCAGAAGAGTAATGTCGTCTAATTATCTAATTCAACTATTATTTAGGGAATATTTTCTGCTGAACACTACGCGGAGTTTGCGGTAAGACCTTCGTCAATATTTAATCGGCAAAATTTTAGGAACAAATTGACGTAAATCAGTGCCATCTTGAATACCTCGCAGGCAGCACCGGCCTAGAAAAACTATTCTCCGTGAGTTTGCCTATATTTTGCACGTGCTCAGTAGACAAATATATTGTTGACCAAGTCTCAACATTTTAGATTCTTAAGCGCTTTAAAAAGCGTCTTCTGACACAGATACGTTAGCATGTTAATTGATTTTACTTCTTAATGCTATAATTGACAGACTTGTCCTTTTATTTATACTGGTTTAAAGCAGCCTGTTCTTTTACAGACTGTTTACTTATTTGAACTTTTAAACGAAGATATCTTGCACTTTGTTTAAGATTGCTCTATATTTAAAGCTTACATCAGCAAACAGGAAGCTTGTAAAGGACCCCAGGATTATTAGTAATGAAAATTGCTACTTTACTCGGCACACGACTGGCAACGGAGGGTTAAAGTGGTATTTAGTTCGCTTGCCTTTTGGCAAATGTATTTATTCATGTTTTGACTGTATTATTGTGTAGGTCTCGGATTGTTCGGCGTCAAACTTTGGTGCCCACCAGTTACCCTAAAAAGTGGATGCACTGATCCCGAAAGTACACCTTTACAATGACTTCCTGTAATTGACGTATTGAACATTCTCGTGCATATGAGAACCTATCACAGTACCCCGTGGCTCAAATCTCAGTAGGCTGGGGTTCAAACTTAATCATTAATCCCAATTCGTCCTTGCCTTAGAAATGTTGAGTTATTGGTATACACTGAGCTATTGAATTGGCTTGGTTTTCTTACCCCTAGAAACAAAAAAAATATATTACATTAAGAAGCTGTCGATATTGCAACCTAAATTCTTTTTTATCAGGAACCAGACCCTCTAGTAAGCACTCCAATTGTTTAATTGCCATATTTTCCATGGCGTGCAATAATTACCCCAGAAACAGAAGTGACCTGCACACATGAATGCCAAGTCAAGAGGCCACCATCTATTTATGTCGCCCTACTTTCAGGCTCTGCTTGTGAGCGGTGTGCATCATTATGTCATCAGACTAAGTATTCATTGACGAAGGAACCCGACTCTTCTTAGACTGCAGTATGACGGGTTAAGTAATCCTCCCTTTAGTAAGTCTTCTTTATAATTCCAGTGTCACTTTCCAAAGAAGATTCTGAATGTATATTCCTACGCCATTTTAGGAATTATCGCACAGTGTATCACAGAGATCGGTTGATATTTCCCGTTTGCGTTCGCCAGCAAACTTCTGGGAGCGAGTGAGTTTCCTCATTCTTTTAAACGTTTGAAATGCTTGTCAATCCCGGTATTATTTTTGTCAATATAATTTATTCACCCACAGAACCTAAGCCGTAACATTCGGAGCAACTGGAAGACAATTCAGATGTTCTCCCTAGCCAGTCGAGTGCACATATGCAACGCAGCGGAATATCAGATGGTAAGTATGAGGCAGGACTTCTTCAGTGCCATCTCTAGTAGTCATCAATGGACTCTTTTTATTGAAATTTAGCATGATATTACAGCATTAGCGGATGAATTATGGAGAACACTGAGCGTATCGCTAGAGGAACCAATCATTTCGATTTTTTGTGACAGAAGGATAAGTAAGCAAGATAGTGCCTTTATTTGAACACACAAGCAGTGATGCATGCTATAAGATGTTCACAGGGTAGTGACTGATGAGATTATAAGGATCTGATCTGAGTATGCGTTGACTACAAGCTACTACCAGTGCTTACAAACTTCGTCGTAGTTCCTTTTGGTTTTGGCTGTCTCGATGGGTGTCTGTTTTGAATGCGTAACGGTGGAAGTAGGAGAATTAAAGGAATCCAACATCAACACTTACTTTGTGTTGACAATGAAAACGTTTGCGAAGAAACGATTCAGTAAGGGTTCCACGCCTTGGTATCCCATTATGTTTGGGTTTTGCACATTTGAGCATCAAGTAATGATGACGCGTGTCTTACGCTTGGGTTAGCTAAATCTATATGGATCAGGGAACCGAAGACCGCGGTGCGATTTACCTCATCAAGGATCCTTGTTGATATGGACAAATAAACACGCCATTCCCCTCATTGATCCGTAGCTTTCGGGGTTTTGATACACCTCTCTAATGCGTCCGGTGCAATATTCCCCCAAACAGAATGTGTGACTAAATTTAGAGACCGTAGGAAAGCAGCACAAATAGGTCATGATACATCGGCGATGGTAAACAGTAGTAATGGAAGGTGGGATTTAAATTATTATGCCAGGTCAGGAATTGGGCCCAATTAAGTTCTGTCAAGGGCTGGGGGAGGGGACACGAGAGAAATCTGCCAGTGGGTAAAGTTTGTGTTTCGTCACTGCCACAATAAAAGCGATTTTTGGACGTTAATATGTCTGGCTTCCTTCCATGCCTTCTTAGGCTAAGGCCTTTTCCCCCGCGAGGTTTACTTTTTCGTACATTCTGGGAATATTCCTCTTGTTGTCAATATTCTGACCTCGTCAAATGGCCCCATTTTCGAACGTGTTTAGCAATAACCGCTGGAAAAAGGCTAAGGTGCAAAGGCATCAGTGCATAGGTTGGACACAGGAAATACTAGTAAATCTGTTCGACATGGGGATAAATACAGGGTGTCCCAAAAAAATGTATACACATTTAAATAATTGCAAACGTGGCGTTTATTATATTTGGATTATTCCAAAAATGTAAATATATTTACAAGTATCATTTTATTGTTTTTTAACTGTATGTTCTTGCATTATATAGTGTTGTCATTGGAAAAGTTATAACCGAGGACTAGTCCACGCTCTTAAGGAAGATGATCTATACCGAAGAGAACGGTATTGCGGATGGTATTTAGAACAATGTCTGGATAAAAATGGACGCCAGTTTGAGAACATGAACTGAAAAAAGCAATCAAATGATAATTTTCAATATTTCTACATTGTTCAAATAATAAGATTATGATAAACACGAAGTTTAAAAATATTTAAAATGTGCATACATTTTTTTGGGACACCCTGTATTATCCTCCACTTGGACTCGTCATATCGTGTCTTTGGGGTTTGGTAATATTCGTCTCCGGCAGCTCTCCAGATGTTACAATTGACGGTCTTGCTCAATAAGTGGTGCGTTAAGGTCTCTAAAAGAAGCTAGTGTGCTGTGCTAGTGATATAGGAACCGGATGCAAGCTAACCACAATGTGATAATTTTTTTGAAAAAACTTCATCATTATTTGTATTCTTTTATTGCTCCGTGATTTCAGCAAAACTGCACAATTTCCTAGATTTAATTAATCACGACCATCCCTATCGGATGCTACATCTGAATTCAAACCTACCATCTGTAAAATATCTTTCCTCTGCGTCCATAGTTCTACTACATCTCTGATCATATGTTCAACCAAATCAACAACAAGACGACATACCTCTACCAACAAGCGGAGGAGATTGCCTCCGATGACAACTACACACCGGTCAATGTGGCAGAACGTTTAACTGCCCTCCTCAATGTGAGTTACTGAACCAGTTGCCTTATGTTTTTGAAGATATTGTCCCGTATGAGGCTTGTGTTTTTGAACCCACTATCAGTGGTTGAAATTATAACTCAGTCCAATAGACATAAGATAGTATTCTGCGAGCACCCCACTTGAACACCACCACCAATAATGCTGCGAATTGCTGTTTAGGTTCAGGAAGAAATAGCGTTATGAATTCTCAAACATACAAAAGAGAAAACAAATATAGTCTGTTTATTGTTTCCAAAGCACTGCTTTTAGCCCGCTCAATCTTCCCCGTAAGTGTTTCCCTCCTTTGGCCATTTCAACAGACAAGACAACGTTTTCCATCCAAAATTCCAATAAATGACTGATAAATGGGCACTTACAAGTCAATGACTATCGTCTAAACAAAGCCTTACGGCAGAGTTTCCTGGTGGGGTGTTCGAAAGGTCCTTGTGTATTATAGCCACCAACATCAATGTTTTAAGTAGGTTGAATTACCTATAATCTTCCAGTTTTCTACACAGCATCCGTCGACCCAGCAGGGATTTGATGCTGTCATTGAACTGCAGAGTGGTCCTCCAAAGGTCACCGCATACCAGAACCGCTTAAATCAGTAAACTAAGCAAAATTGGCCTTTTAAATTACCCATGAGAATAATCGCTTACTTACAGATTTTAAGTAGGGTGATATGTACAATCGTCTACCTTCGTATTGCTTCAACCTTTTTCTAGTTGGTGTTGGTGGTACCACTAGAAAATGTACCTCAATGACCTCGCGCGTGGTTAGGGTACGCTCCCCCTACATACCCGCTTTCGCCGTTGGTCGGGCGGGGGGTTAGCGATGATTTTAAAGCCCATTTCAGTGTCTTCTCCCAAGGTTTGAGTACGCGACCCAAGTTATCCTCGAGAAATATTGCGATCTAATTTGGTCCCTGACGTGCCTTGCCTGTCCTCTTCCCTAAAATCAGGTGTGCGTGAGCCTGAGGAGCGCGCTTCACACGTTACCCAGGCGGCCCCACAAGGACTCTCTACCAGCCTTACTAAGAAGATGAAAGCGCGATCACTGAAACAGTATATTTATTAGTCTGAGTTTCTGAAAGCATACAGGTGTCCAGCATCAGAGACCGCGTAAATACAACA